CCCCAAAACCCCAAAACCCCAAAACCCCAAAACCCCGATAAGGAAGTCAGTAATTGAATCTTTTTGCATAAAAAATTACCCCATACTAATTGGTGATTTAGCATCTTTATACCGGTTACGTTTCTTCTTAAACGACACTATAGTTTCTTCAATCCTTTCTTACCTATCTTCTTCTGCTGGTTGAGTATATCCTGCCTTCTCCTTTCTTCTTCCTGGAGTTCTTTCTGTCTTGACCGTTCAATATGCTCTATTTCCTTCCTGATTTTGTCAGAGTGCTGCTTTTGCATTAAGTCTAGATTCTTCAGTCTCGCTGCAGCTTTATTTTAGCGCTAGAGAGATTTTAGAATTTGTGAAATTTTAGGAGTGGATTTAAACTGACAAAGGGATTTGTGAATGCACAGAATTTGGATTTTTGGAAGTAATGGAGGATTTAGACTTTGGAAATTAATTTTTTAGGGGAAATGTGTATTTTGAGGAAGAATAGAAGGAATTTTGGGTGGTTTAGATAGAGCAGAAGGGGATTAGGGACAAGGGAGAAAAATTGGGAGATTGGAGGGAAGAGAAGGGGTTTTACCTTGGCGGTCGAGGTTTTGGTCGTGCTTGGCCTAAGGGTTAGGATGGGAAGTTACGTTTTGATACCGGGCTTGGTTATTCTTATCTCTTATACGTACTTGCGACTGAAAGATTCCATCACCAGTCGGCCCACGTGAAACCTATAAACAAACTTAAACCCTTTCAAACCATACCTAGACTCAAATCCTAGTCGAAAAAATTCAAAAAACGGTTATAATTCCCATTTAAGCCCCCAAAACTGAGCATTCCCATCATCCAAAACTACCCAAAATCCCTTCTGAACAAGGCCAATCTGGAAACCTACCTTGATCTCTTCTTTAGAGATATTAATGTTGTCGGAAGAAGCCTGGAACTTGAGAAGATTAGTCTTGGGCATGTTCCTTGAAGAGTCTCTAAACTGCACAGGATCTACAGGAATCGAAGAGCTTGCAGAGAGGTCTCTTGATGGACTATATGAGAGAAATGAGTGGTCTTGACACTTACACACTAGATTTGAACCTATTTAAGGAGTATTTTGATGATGAATTTATATCTAAGTGAGACGCCCTAAGATTCGCATTCAAACCTGGCCTATTTTTGTAAGCATTGTCTGATAGAATCATGCTATTTTTCTCCTATTTTTGTTAGACTCAACTTACTGAAATATTAAAGGAAGATTCTTTTAGTTTAGGCATTTTTAAATCGATAGAACCTCGTTTCAAGGGAAAGATATAATCTGAATTTGAAACACTCTGTGCATTTTTGGGGGACACATCTGTACTAAATTCATAACCCCTGTTTTCAAGATTCAAGCTATCTGGAGATTTGAGAATAGGATATTTTGCCCTATTTTTGTCAAGAGTTTCCATAGTTGAAATGATTGGTCTAGATACCTCTTTTCTCAATTTTTGATTTTCCATTTTAAGGGCGACTACCTGAGCTTCAAGGTCATATTTATTTCCTTTTCTTTTGATATTCAGGACATCTCTCAGATGCTTAATCTCATTCTGTAGCTTGTTTACTAATCTATCATTTGTAGCAGAGAAATTGTTCTTTCGAACTTTAGTCATCACAAGCTTGGCTCTATTAGCAAATTTGAGAGTTGAAATTGACTCTTCTGCTCAGTCTACAGTAGGAGATACAGTTGCTATCAAGCATGAATTAGTGTTTCCTCCAAGAGAATCTTTGAGAATTCGAGTAAGGTTAGACTCTCTGTAAGGAACGTATTCTCTGAATGGTCTAGAGTTATGAGTTTTACTCTTAGTAATCTTCTTCATATGGTTCTTAGCAAGAGCTGAGATAACCTTTCCAAGAGTTGTTAGTGACAAATTAATTGTCTTAAGCTCTTTAAGATACTTCTCATTGCTAGAATCCTTATCAAGCTTCTCTGACCCTGCAAGATCTCAGAAGCTAAGCTTTGCTTTCTGAATCATTCCTGCGCTATCTTCACTCTTTGTCTCAACCATTATTTGTACAACAGAATGAGATCTCGAACTATGGATGTTAGCTTTGGTTTGTCTCGTGATTCTGTTCTTCTCTCCTCTATTCATGAGAGCTTGACATGCGTCCATAGAGTTGACTGAAAATTCAGAAAGGCCCTCTATGTAAGTCCCTAAACTTTATGAAAGAAGTTACCAGTGATTTTATCTTCACGAACTTTCAATGGCTTTACATTGTGTGCATCCTGGAGACAATCGTAGATCTTTTCGTTATAGATCTGTATGAATGATAAGTGGACTGCGTATTCTTGATCAATAGAATTGATGAAATCAAAAATGTAGTTAATCGCCCTTGGAGTGATCCCCGTTTCATCATTATCAGAAGACATGCTCTCTGTTTCAATGCGTCTTTGAGGTTTGGCTATATGATAATCAGAAGGATTACTTTTGCCAAACATTGTATAAGTTTTGCCTGAGCCAGTCTGGCCATAGGCAAATATTGTTCAATTCTTAGAATCTAGAGAGTAATCTATAGAATGTACCGAAGATCTGTTTAATTTGAGGTGATACAAATTTGAATATGTCAGATTGGGATGACTTTTGATCAAATGCAGCATCATATACACTATGGTAATGATTTTCCACTAAGAATTATGATTGGTGAGCTTACTGTCCATCACAATTACTTTACTTTTATCCTGCTCAACAGAAATAATTTCTTCTTTCCCATATTCTGAATAATTATTTTGACAGAAAATCGTGCTCTATGAGGGGCCTTCACCTGATGGCTACCTTTATTCTAGAGCTTTGGGTTCCACTCTCTATGTGAGGCTCAGGGATAAATTCAATATTAGTGTCTTCAAATTCCTTGCTCTATAATGTCTCCGTGGTTAGTATTGTCACGGATAAAACTGATTGCTTAGAAGAGAAGTTTAGACTTTGGAATATATTTCATACCTCGATTTCCTTCTTAACAGGTTTCTATGGGAAATTATTCAAAGAGATTTACTTTTTTCTCTTTGGACTTAAAGATAACTGTGTCGTGCAACTTAGACTTCTTCATAATATTATATAAAAATAAATAGGAGTGGGGTTTTGGGGTTTTGGGGTTTTGGGGTTTTGGGG